CTCCCCCAGCACACAATGGTGTAGAAGCGGACACTGTAAACCACAGACTGGTAGAACATCTCCAACAGTTTGTTGCAGATGTTTGAGGACCTCAGTCTCCTCAGGAAGTACCTCCTGCTCCAGGTCCTAATTAGCTAGAAAACACAGAATGACATGAATTAGAATTAAACTGAAAACAAAAAAGCCCAGAAAGGGCAGAATCATGACAGGAATGTTTTAAAAGAGTCTCTGAATACAGGAAGTAATTAAAGGTCTGGAAATGAGCTACTAGGCAGAGGTTTATGGTCTCCCAGCGCTTTTCTGGTTTCTTATTCAATGTTTGAAACCATCTTCTAGTTTTTATTAAAATGGATCAAATATAATGAAGGATGATTTTCTCTAGATGTTCAACAGAAACAAACATTTATTTCTAAATAATGTCTCTGTTCCATAGCTTTATATTCCTTTCAGTGATTTTAATCCTCAGAGACAGGAAGTGCTGTTTGGAAACTTTGTGCGTCAGAAAGGTGAAATGAAGCGGCTCATTTGGATTTTCTCCACAGCTGGACTCGGTCTGATCCTGTTAGAAACTCTGGGCTCATGTGGAGAAGATTGGCTTCTGCTGAGAGCCTGTCTGGGTCTGAGTGTTAAGGTGGTATGGTGCTGTGGGCCACCTGGCATGTGAGGCGGCTGTGGAGCAGCTGAACCGTTGTGGGAAACGGGAGGTTGTGAGTTTGATTCCAGCTGTTTGATGAGCAGCTCTTGGGCTCCGGTGGTCGGTGTGTCCTGAATGTGTGGGTCAAAGGTCAGCTGTTTGAAAGCTTCTGGATGCAGGAAGAAGAAGAGAAAACAAGGAGAAACGTCAGAGGAGGAAACAGATGAAAAAAAGATGTAACAATAAAACAATAATTAAATGTATATAAACTTGACAGACTGAAATCTAAAGCCCAGAGCAGCATAATGATACGTTAGGATCTCCAGAGCCGCTTCATGGGCTGTGGGGGGAAATTATTCTAATATTTTTGTTTCAATGGTTTCTTGCTGTAAATGAGCTTCAGATCCCTGAAAAATTACAAGAACAAAACATAAAACTGACATTTAATAACCTTTAAAGTAAAAATAAAATGATTTAACTCCTCTGAAAACGTCTTTAATTATCTGACGGTTTTAATTTGGATCTCCTGTTTATTATTTTGATTGTTGTTTCCTTCTTTTCTCCCCCATAAATGATGTCTGGTTCGTCGGTTCAGGCTGAATCGTTGGAGCATTTCTCCTGTTTCTGCTGTTTCTACACATCAGTGGATAATCCATAAATCTACCCGATCATGTCAGCTTTAACTGGGAGCCATTCGGCTCCCTGATTCAAGACAAACAGAGAAAGTTGGTTTAATGTCGTCCTGAAGGACTTTCCCTTATTAGTGGAATTAACCAGATCTAAAAAAAAACCCAGAAAAACTGTCAAATCAGTTCCTGGATGAAAAACGTTTCTAAGCTGGAGATCTAATTAAGAACAACAGCAACTATTGTTCTTAGCTACAAACTGTAGTTAAAAACGTTCCTTTTTGATAAAGCTTATAGTTAGAGAGGCCGCTCACACTGAGCCTGGTTCTGCTGGAGGTTTCTTCCTGTTCAAAGGGAGTTTTTCCTCTCCACTGTCGCTACAAGCATGCTTAGTGTGAGGGATTGCTGAAGAGTCAATGAGTCGATGCAATCAGCTGGTTTTCCTTAGATAGAAAACTTTGAATCAATCTGACTGGATGATCTGGTGCTTTGAGCTGTGAATTGGTGCACGATGATGAGATGGGAAACATTTTCATAATGAAGTCCTGGAGGACAGAACAACATGATACTGAATCACATCTCTGTCTGTAACACATGACTGAAGCTCCTGCTCAGCGTGAGGATGCATCGACATGGCAGACTGAACCTCTGTCTCAGTAATCCTGCAGGTCAACGACCCACTTTCTGCTCAGCTGGAGCAAACTGGACGCAGTTTGACTCATTTTGGTTCATGTAGAAGCTGATCAGCATCAGGAGGAGGAGGAGGAGGAGGAGGAGGAGGAGGAGGAGGAGGAGGAGGAGGAGGAGGACGGCTGCTGCTTCATCTTCTTCTAAAACTGGACTGAAAGAACCCAGAATTTGACGAGTGACTCTGCTGTCAGGACCCTGATCTCACTGGGATGTTTGCTGGATTTTTTTACTGCAGCGCCGCTCAGATAAACTCCACCCGTCATCCTGCACTGCAAAAAAAATGAAATCTAAATAAGTCATTTTTTCTTAAAATAAGTGCATTTTTTCTTGAATTAAGGATTTAAGTGAGACACTTTGCTAATGGAACAAGACAATTTACACTTAAAATAAGAAAAAACAACCTCATTGTCTTATTTCAAGTGCATATTATCTAGATAGCTTATTTTAAGAGTAAAAATACTAATTCCATTGGCAAATCATCTTATTTACCTGTTCAAATTAAGGTTAAATACACTTAATTTAAGACATTTTTACTAATTTTGAGATTATTTTTGCAGTGTGAGATTCGCTCCAAAGAGAAACGGTGTTTACAGGACGGCTAAATTTAAACTCCTGGATCTAGAACCAGATCACCTGCTGCTGCAGAGGTTTAAGATCCAAAACAGAACAATAAATCTCAAGCTGGACAACTTCAAGCGGAAATAAAGAAACTTTCTGCAACGGCAGCAGCCAGCAGCCCTCTGCAGCAGAGGGAATCAAACCGAAGGTTCTTTTCAAAAGATTCCCAAAAATACCAGTAATCTGTTACAGTTCAGTTACACCTTATATCCAGCGTATGACGTCCCAGATTCTCCTAAAATGCTGGCATACGCTGAACTACGGCTGCATGATATAATGGGCCCCCTATCGGTATCGGCCTTAAAACTGAATATCGGACATCGGCCCCCCCACCGATATTTAACCCCATATTTGATCAGCTTCTGAGTTTCTAAAGTCTAAAAAAATAAAAATACTACTTCTTCTTCTTCCTCAAAACCTTCTTTTTTACAGACTTAAAAACTTCTAAAGACGAGGGGAAAAATATTGATCCATTAAAATATCCCAATATCTTCATATGCTGATATATTGCCCTTTAAAAACACCATATCAATCTCTTTTACTAATGAAATATTGCTATATGTCATCGTTATGCTACGAAATCCCCCGAAAATTCACCAAATGTTGCCATATTTTTATATGTTGATATATTGACGCGGTATCGATCTATTTTACTAACAAAATCTCACAAGAATTTGAAAAATATCACGAGAGTTTGTAACAGAACGATGAAATTTCACGAGATTTTGAAAGTAAAATAGATCGATACCGCGTTTTTTAAAATCTATTTGATATCAGCATCTGAAAATATATTTGAGTATATTATTTTTCAGAGTGTCAGAAATGGATAACAAAACTGCTATTTTCAATGACTACTTATTTTTGTCCAGCTTTAACATCGGTATCGATATCGGTTATCGGCTACATGAGTTTTAAAATATCGGCATATCGGATATCGGCCAAAATCCCAATATTGTGCATCCATACGCTGAACACCTCTTTCCTTTGCCTAAAAAGGGACGGACCCGTTCATCCGTTTCAATTTGCATTTTTTCTAAACTAAAACCAAAGCTTTGTTAGGCTGCTGTATGAAGCCTGGAACTTAATGCTATTTCTGATATTTTGAAGCGAAACATCTTCAAACTTGGAAACTAATTTTTTAAAAACTTTTTTTGACGCTGAACAAACATTTGTAAAGTTCACAGATGGACAGAAATGAAGCTATAAGCCTTCAGAACCTGTTAGAACCAGTTCAGGTGTAAATGGTGGAAACAGAACCGTCCAGCTGATGTTTGTAAGCGTTTCAGGCAGGTAGGAGGGACACGTCCCCCGTTTGCTGCTCACATGTCAGACTCCATCATCATCATCATCATCAGCAGCAGTCGTCTGTTTGGAGCTCTGAGCATCTTCACACGCTGCACAGCTTTATCAGTTTTCATGGGTCAGAGAAGGAGATGCGAACCTTCACACCATCATCTTCACACCAGCTAACTGTTAACAGTCTGGATGCACTGGAAAAACGATCTAGAAAAAAGTAAAATATTTCTTAAATTAAGTGTATTTACCCTTATTTTGAGCAGGTAAATGAGATGATTTGCCAATGGAATGAGTATTTTTATTCTTAAAATAAGATATTTGAATAAAATGCACTTTAAATAAGACAGTGCAGTTGTGTTTTCTTATTTTAAGTTTAAATTGTCTTGTTCCATGTTTCTTTTATCTCCTCAATCCAATAACAAATGCACTTATTTTAAGAATAAATGACTTATCTAGATTTCGATTTTTTTCCTGTGTGGAGAAACCTGCTGGACTCTTGATGTGGAAAAAAACGTATTCAATCATTCACCCCAGTTAAATGGATTTCACTCAGTCTGCATTTTATTTTATCTTTGCAAAGAGAACAGTTCATCATGCGCGGTAATCAGCCCCGTTCTGCCTGAGCAGTATTTATTCCTCCTTACTTAAAATAATGGAAAGTAGTCAGAGTCAAAACTAATTACAGACACTTTAGTTAAACAGTAACGTCATGAATAAAGCTGGAGAAAGAATCTGTTTTTTTATGGGACTAAGTATGTCTTGTCTACAGACTCTCACTCAGGCATTGGGTGGCCTTGCATTTGAAAGAGACGGAGTAAAATGTTTTTATGGTGAATAAATAGAATAAATCAATATACAAAATAAGAAAAATCTAAATTTTCCAACTACATTCCTCATGTGAGCCTTCATCTGCAGTAATTTCAGGAGAGCTCAGATCTTCCTGCAGAGCTGCACACAAAGGGAGGAGATGATGATGATGATGATGCTGGAGCAGGTTGCTAGGATACCAAGGTCTCATAGTGTTAGTGTGCAGTGGGACGGAGGACGGCTTTGATGCAGCATTTATTGGATATTTATGTCTCTGAGTTCCACTGAGGTTCTGATCTATAAACAGCATTTCTATGTTTGTCCTGCAGGTGGCGATGGAGTCCCAGCCTCCACACCCCTTCCCCACCGTGGACGTCCCTGACCACGCCCACTACACCATCGGCTCTGTCATCCTCGCCATCGGCATCACGGGCATGGTCGGAAACTTCCTGGTTATTTACGCCTTCAGCAGGTAGGGGGCGGAGCTTCCTGTGACCAAATATGGTCATTGATGTTCATGGAAGCTGGTTGGGTCTCTTACCACTCAACTTTTTATCGCCTGTGCACAAACGTATTGCATACCCAAACGCCACTGGCCAGTAAATGATAATAAAATCCCACGATTGTGAAATATCTCATTTAAAAGCTAAGACCAACTAGTTTCTGGAAATATGTGAGCAGATTCTGTAGGTTGAACAAAAAAAACCTTTTTCCCACTGGAATTTTAAAAAACAATTTATTTTTGTTACATCTTTTTAATAACCTATAGTCGACCAATCCCATTAACTACACTTGTTCTTCCGGTTGTGGACAATTTCTGTGTAAAATTCCAGATCTCTGCTCATATGAATCGTGAAACTATGAATCTTTTTGTGTGTAAAAGTTCCATTCAACACAATTATGCCAAATTTGGACCAAATGTGGGAGGAGCACGTGGGACGGCCTTATGTAAACCAGAATGATTGACAGTTAGGAGGACAAATTATTTGGATGATCCACCCAGAAATACACTATATTGCCAAAAGTATTTGCTCACCCATCCAAATTATTGGAATCAGGTGTTCCAATCACTTCCATGGCCACAGGTGTATAAATTCAAGCACCTAGGCATGCAGACTGTTTTTACAAACATTTGTGAAAGAATGGGTCGCTCTCAGGAGCTCAGTGAATTCCAGCGTGGAACTGTGATAGGATGCCACCTGTGCAACAAATCCAGTCGTGAAATTTCCTCGCTCCTAAATATTCCACAGTCAACTGTCAGCTGTATTATAAGAAAATGGAAGTGTTTGGGAACGACAGCAACTCAGCCACGAAGAGGTAGGCCACGTAAACTGACGGAGCGGGGTCAGCGGATGCTGAAGCGCATAGTGCGAAGAGGTCGCCAACTTTCTGCAGAGTCAATCACTACAGACCTCCAAACTTCATGTGGCCTTCAGATTAGCTCAAGAACAGTGCGCAGAGAGCTTCATGGAATGGGTTTCCATGGTCGAGCAGCTGCATCCAAGCCATACATCACCAAGTGCAATGCAAAGCGTCGGATGCGGTGGTGTAAAGCACGCCGCCACTGGACTCTAGAGCAGTGGAGACGCGTTCTCTGGAGTGACGAATCGCGCTTCTCCATCTGGCAATCTGATGGACGGGTCTGGGTTTGGCGGTTGCCAGGAGAACGGTACTTGTCTGACTGCATTGTGCCAAGTGTAAAGTTTGGTGGAGGGGGGATTATGGTGTGAGGTTGTTTTTCAGGAGCTGGGCTTGGCCCCTTAGTTCCAGTGAAAGGAACTCTGAATGCTTCAGCATACCAAGACATTTTGGACAATTCCATGCTCCCAACTTTGTGGGAACAGTTTGGAGCTGGCCCCTTCCTCTTCCAACATGACTGTGCACCAGTGCACAAAGCAAGGTCCATAAAGACATGGATGACAGAGTCTGGTGTGGATGAACTTGACTGGCCTGCACAGAGTCCTGACCTCAACCCGATAGAACACCTTTGGGATGAATTAGAGCGGAGACTGAGAGCCAGGCCTTCTCGTCCAACATCAGTGTGCGACCTCAAAAATGCGCTTCTGGAAGAATGGTCAAAAATTCCCATAAACACACTCCTAAACCTTGTGGACAGCCTTCCCAGAAGAGTTGAAGCTGTTCTAGCTGCAAAGGGTGGACCGACGTCATATTGAACCCTATGGATTAGGAACGGGATGTCACTTAAGCTCATATGTGAGTCAAGGCAGGTGAGCAAATACTTTTGGCAATATAGTGTAGAAGATCATCCTCCATACCTTTAAGGTAATGAGCAAAAGATTAAATTATTTAAATTATGCTTGCAGCTTAAAAATAAAATAGGAATGAAGACTGAAAACTAATTTCTTACCAGAAAAGTTAAAATGATTATAAATATATTGTTAATATAAAAAGCATAATGTTAGTCAGAACTTTACACTATGATTTTTTTTTTTTTTTTACTCTGTTAATGAATGTAAAGAAGATTAAAAATAAAACCTTTTCTGGACTTTTAAAGCAGCAGAACCAGATTCATGTCTTTAAATTGTATTTTAAAACCAAATTTGCTAATAAAATCAGGGATTTTTAGGTGTTTTATTGAACGTGAGGTGATCGGGTGTTTGTTTTGTCCTCACGTCTCTCAGATGTTTCTGTTGGGGCTGGATCAGAAATGGAACAAGCCGTCCATCTCTCCTCAGAGAACATCTTTGCTTGTTTCCAGCAGATGATTTCCAGGCGTTAAACAGCCGTTTGATCGGCACTTTTCCCGGACCGGTTATTGATCTGCCTTCCATTGAAGTCCGGCGCGGTTTATGACGTCGCTTTTATTGATCCTGTGTTTGTTTAGAGGAGCTTTGAGAGGAGCTTCATGTGCAGATGCTTCTGCAGCTCCTCAGATGTTTCTGCTGCATCAGAACAACGAATCGATCTCATCCTGGAATATAAACAAGAATCCGTGAATATTCTAAAAATCAATCATTTTAAATGTTCCTAAAAATCCTGAAATCCTTAAATCCCCTGAAATAAAAGAACTATAATCAATGAATAATTGGTGAAGAGTCGCTTCGTTTTAATCTAAATCTCTTTGGTTTTTGTCACTTAGTTTGAATTAATTCTAAATTGAAGGTAAAATATAAATATTAATTCAGCATTTCCACAGATCCACAGCAGCCTGCCTTTCTGTTTTTCTCATTAATCATCTTTAAACTTCCCACCTTAGGTCTCGCCTGAATACTGGGTCCATCTGACCCGTTTTATGACAAGTCCTGGACGGTTTGATTGAAGGTCTGAAGCTCCTGACAGATTAGATCAGAACCACTCAGGGAGCGTTTGTTTTGTTCCACAGGAGCCGCAGCCTTCGGACTCCGGCCAACATGTTCATCATCAACCTGGCCGTCACAGACCTGCTGATGTGCATCACCCAGTCGCCCATCTTCTTCACCACCAGCATGCACAAGAGGTGGATCTTTGGAGAGAAAGGTGAGCAGAGAAACCATCCAATGAATAACCTACCCTGTAAAAGACCACCCATGCACAAGAGGTGGATCTTTGGAGAGAAAGGTGAGCAGAGAAACCATCCAATGAATAACCTACCCTGTAAAAACCACCAGGATCCCAGTAGAACCAGTGTGCTGGATCCCAGTAGAACCAGTCTGTTGGATCCCAGTAGAACCAGTGTGCTGGATCCCAGTAGAACCAGTCTGTTGGATCCCAGTAGAACCAGTGTGCTGGATCCCAGTAGAACCAGTCTGCTGGATCCCAGTGTGCTGGATCCCAGTAGAACCAGTCTGTTGGATCCCAGTAGAACCAGCCTGCTGGATCCCAGTAGAACCAGTGTGCTGGATCCCAGTAGAACCAGCGTGCTGGATCCCAGTAGAACCAGTCTGTTGGATCCCAGTAGAACCAGTGTGCTGGATCCCAGTAGAACCAGCCTGCTGGATCCCAGTGTGCTGGATCCCAGTAGAACCAGTCTGTTGGATCCCAGTAGAACCAGTCTGTTGGATCCCAGTAGAACCAGTGTGCTGGATCCCAGTAGAACCAGTCTGTTGGATCCCAGTAGAACCAGTGTGCTGGATCCCAGTAGAACCAGTCTGTTGGATCCCAGTAGAACCAGTGTGCTGGATCCCAGTAGAACCAGCCTGCTGGATCCCAGTGTGCTGGATCCCAGTAGAACCAGTCTGTTGGATCCCAGTAGAACCAGTCTGTTGGATCCCAGTAGAACCAGTCTGTTGGATCCCAGTAGAACCAGCGTGCTGGATCCCAGTAGAACCAGTCTGCTGGATCCCAGTAGAACCAGCCTGCTGGATCCCAGTGTGCTGGATCCCAGTAGAACCAGTCTGTTGGATCCCAGTAGAACCAGTGTGCTGGATCCCAGTAGAACCAGTGTGCTGGATCCCAGTAGAACCAGTCTGTTGGATCCCAGTAGAACCAGTGTGCTGGATCCCAGTAGAACCAGTCTGCTGGATCCCAGTAGAACCAGTGTGTTGGATCCCAGTAGAACCAGTGTGCTGGATCCCAGTAGAACCAGTGTGCTGGATCCCAGTAGAACCAGTCTGCTGGATCCCAGTAGAACCAGTGTGCTGGATCCCAGTAGAACCAGCCTGCTGGATCCCAGTAGAACCAGTGTCCTGGATCCCAGTAGAACCAGCGTGCTGGATCCCAGTAGAACCAGTCTGTTGGATCCCAGTAGAACCAGTGTGCTGGATCCCAGTAGAACCAGCCTGCTGGATCCCAGTGTGCTGGATCCCAGTAGAACCAGTCTGTTGGATCCCAGTAGAACCAGTGTGCTGGATCCCAGTAGAACCAGCGTGCTGGATCCCAGTAGAACCAGTCTGTTGGATCCCAGTAGAACCAGCCTGCTGGATCCCAGTGTGCTGGATCCCAGTAGAACCAGTCTGTTGGATCCCAGTAGAACCAGCCTGCTGGATCCCAGTAGAACCAGTGTGCTGGATCCCAGTAGAACCAGCGTGCTGGATCCCAGTAGAACCAGTCTGTTGGATCCCAGTAGAACCAGTGTGCTGGATCCCAGTAGAACCAGCCTGCTGGATCCCAGTGTGCTGGATCCCAGTAGAACCAGTCTGTTGGATCCCAGTAGAACCAGTGTGCTGGATCCCAGTAGAACCAGCGTGCTGGATCCCAGTAGAACCAGTCTGTTGGATCCCAGTAGAACCAGCCTGCTGGATCCCAGTGTGCTGGATCCCAGTAGAACCAGTCTGTTGGATCCCAGTAGAACCAGTGTGCTGGATCCCAGTAGAACCAGTGTGCTGGATCCCAGTAGAACCAGTCTGTTGGATCCCAGTAGAACCAGTGTGCTGGATCCCAGTAGAACCAGTCTGCTGGATCCCAGTAGAACCAGTGTGTTGGATCCCAGTAGAACCAGTGTGCTGGATCCCAGTAGAACCAGTGTGCTGGATCCCAGTAGAACCAGTCTGCTGGATCCCAGTAGAACCAGTGTGCTGGATCCCAGTAGAACCAGCCTGCTGGATCCCAGTAGAACCAGTGTGCTGGATCCCAGTAGAACCAGCGTGCTGGATCCCAGTAGAACCAGTCTGTTGGATCCCAGTAGAACCAGTGTGCTGGATCCCAGTAGAACCAGCCTGCTGGATCCCAGTGTGCTGGATCCCAGTAGAACCAGTCTGTTGGATCCCAGTAGAACCAGTGTGCTGGATCCCAGTAGAACCAGCGTGCTGTATCCCAGTAGAACCAGTCTGTTGGATCCCAGTAGAACCAGCCTGCTGGATCCCAGTGTGCTGGATCCCAGTAGAACCAGTCTGTTGGATCCCAGTAGAACCAGTGTGCTGGATCCCAGTAGAACCAGTGTGCTGGATCCCAGTAGAACCAGTCTGCTGGATCCCAGTAGAACCAGTGTGTTGGATCCCAGTAGAACCAGTGTGCTGGATCCCAGTAGAACCAGTCTGTTGGATCCCAGTAGAACCAGTCTGCTGGATCCCAGTAGAACCAGTCTGCTGGATCCCAGTAGAACCAGTCTGCTGGATCCCAGTAGAACCAGTCTGTTGGATCCCAGTAGAACCAGTGTGCTGGATCCCAGTAGAACCAGCCTGCTGGATCCCAGTAGAACCAGTCTGATCCGACCCTCTCCTCCTCCCTCAGGCTGTGAGCTCTACGCCTTCTGCGGCGCCCTGTTCGGGATCTGCTCCATGATCACGCTGATGGTGATCGCCATCGACCGTTACTTCGTCATCACGCGACCTCTGACCTCCATCGGCGTGTTGTCGAGGAAACGGGCCCTCCTCATCCTCATGGTGGCGTGGGCCTACTCCCTGGGCTGGAGCCTGCCACCGTTCTTCGGCTGGAGTAAGAGAGATGGAGGAAAGGGCGGCGCCGCCATGGCAACAGACTCCTCCCCCTGCAGAGTAGCAAACCTCAGCCTCTCTCTCTCTCTCTCTGCTACTGTCTCTCGCCCATCAGGCGCCTACGTCCCTGAGGGCCTCCTGACTTCCTGTACGTGGGACTACATGACCTTCACCCCATCCGTGCGCGCCTACACCATGCTGCTCTTCATCTTCGTCTTCTTCCTGCCGCTCTTCATCATCATCTACTGCTACATCTTCATCTTCAGAGCCATTCGCTCCACTAACCAGTAGGTCCAGTCCCGTTTCCCCCGGTTCTGGTTCTGTTGCGTCGGTGTCAGGGCGAGGGTCTGCATCATTCCCGCTCCAGTGAGGCGTGTTTGTGCCTGCAGGGCGGTGGGGAAGATCAGCGGCAGCACCCACAGCCACAGCAGCTCCCGGGACTCGGTGAAGACTTTCCACCGTCTGCAGAACGAGTGGAAGATGGCGAAGATCGCCCTGATCGTCATCCTGCTGTACGTCATCTCCTGGTCGCCCTACTCCGCCGTCGCCCTCACCGCCTTCGCCGGGTAACGCTTTATAACAACATTAAGGCCATGATCGCTGCCTTCTACCACCTTTGCTCCTTCAGGCTCACATCGACTCTTTTCCACATCAGATATCAGTAAAAATGAGACTCAAGGTGCAGGAAGTTTCCAGCTCAGATTTCAGTTTGTTAGGATTTATAGAGATGTTTGCTTTAAGGAGGAGGAAGATTGCTGTCTGAGAGGAGAAGGTTAGAAAAGGAACTAAGATTTGACACCATTAGTTATGAAACTAAGAAAAGTCTAAGAAAGCTATCATCCAGAATTGTAGAAAAATGTTCCTCAGCTATCTCTATAGTTCTGCTGCTATAGGCTTAGACTAGTGGAGGACATAGGGACCCCTTTTTCATCATTCTGCTTCATTCTATCTCTATTCTCCCACTCTGCAGAATCTGTTAGTTCAATCTCTAACGTTCTGCTCTCTCTGCTTTTTCTCATAGTAGCTTCATCTGGTCTGTTCCTGTTTGGCTGTGACTCCATCCTGGAGAGAAATATCAGCTGTGCTGCTGCCATCAACACCTTTGTTTCTAGATGTTGGAGCTTGGCCTGTTTTCCAGTGTAGTCCTGTTTCTCTGACTGTGACTAACTGGATGTGCTCTCTTCATCCTCTGACATGGGAGCTGGCTCGGAGCTCGTCTGCCTGGCTGTGTGTTTCCTGGACGGGGCCGCCTGTGGAGCTGGTTGACAATTGCCTTTTGTATCTATGCTTCTTTTTCTATGTCTGCTTCTGTCTCCTTGAACCCCAGTGGGCCTCAGCAGATGGCCGCTCACACTGAGCCTGGTTCTGCTGGAGGTTTCTTCCTGTTCAAAGGGAGTTTTTCCTCTCCACTGTCGCTACAAGCATGCTTAGTGTGAGGGATTGCTGCAGAGCTGGTTTTCCTTAGATAGAAAAAAGTGATAAACCAAAAGTACTAAATTGATGATGTGCATGTAATATACATGGATTTATTACTTTATGTTATTTACATTTTACACCAGAACCAGAAACCATGATGCAGCATTTTTTCGTTTCTCTGGTCTGGAACAAACAGCCTGAACCCAAAATGCTCTGAACCTGTTTGTTCCTTTAAAACAGGAAAACAAAAACCTCCTTTAAACAAAACGGGAGACTAAATATAAAATCTGCATTTGAACATTTTTGACTTTTATGCAGATCTTTTCAATTAATTATGGTTCTGCTGGAGGTTTCTTCCTGTTCAAAGGGAGTTTTTCCTCTTCACTGTCGCTACATGCATGCTTAGTGTGAGGGATTGCTGAAGAGTCAATGATGATGAGTAATGCAGTACAGCTTCTGTCCTTAAACAGTTTTTTCTGCATTACTTTAAATAGTTTTAAAAATGCTACTTTTACACTTTTACTGAAGTAAAAAGCTGAAGTTGATCCTCTAACTTCTATAAAAGTATTTTTAATAAACATGAATACTTTGGACACCTCTGATGGTAACTCTACTTTGTTAGTCTTTCTCAGAACGTAAAGTGTTTTATTTCTGGCGGTGGGGTTAGGAGGCAGCAGCTGCAGATCAATGCTCTGATTTTAGCAGAAATGTGTCGCCCCGCCCTCTGATTGGCTCCTGACAGACGCGGCTGGGTTCTGCTTCTTCCTGCTGCAGGTATGCAGACATGCTGACCCCCTACATGAACTCGGTGCCCGCCGTTATCGCCAAGGCCTCAGCCATCCACAACCCCATCATCTACGCCATCACACACCCCAAATACAGGTGAGACGCCCTGGGAGTCAGCAGGGCAGCGACTGTCGTTAACTGGAGGGTTTGAAGTTGGATTTTCTAAGAAAATATGGCGGTCACACTGCAAAAATGATCTAGAAATACAGATTTCTTAAATTAAGTGTATCTAGCCTTAATTTAAGTAGGTAAATAAAATGATTTCCCAATAGAATGAGTATTTTTATTCTTAAAATAAGATAATTAGATAATATGCAGTGGAAACCGACCAATCGGGTGAGAGCAGCACTGCAAAAACTGTAAATCAGACTAAGTCAATTTTTTTTAAAATAAGTGCATTTTTGGTTGAACTGAGAATTGCTAATGGAATAACACAATTTACATTTAAAATAAGGAAAAGCTAATGGGACTGAAACCAGTTCAGGGTCAGCCTGTACTGGTCACAGTGTTAAATGGGTTGATCAGTTGATTTTTATCTTTAATTACATAGAAGACGCCTACATTCTAACAGGAAAAGCCTCTGCTGGAGGTTTCTTCCTGTTCAAAGGGAGTTTTTCCTCTCCACTGTCGCTACAAGCATGCTTAGTGTGAGGGATTGCTGAAGAGTCAATGAGTCGATGCAATCAGCTGGTTTTCCTTAGATAGAAAACTTTGAATCAATCTGACTGGATGATCTGGTGAACTGGAAAGTGACCTGAGATGACATGATGTGAATTGGAGCTATAGAAATACACTGAATAGAATTGAAATGACTGGAGAGACAAGCTTTACCCCATAAAACATAAAACTAGTGGACTTTTCTCCAGGGGGCGCTATGACTTCAAAATAGACTTAAACCTAGAACTTTATTTATATGAATGCCAACAACAAAAAAAATTCTTTTTTTCAGTCTGAGATGCCATAATAAGGATCCCAGATGTTCTTCTCTATGCGCGCCCCTGGCAGGAATGTATTTAGCGTATCGCTGTATTTGGGGTAAAGGCAGCGCTGGTCAGTGAAACTCTTCCTTCCTCCTTCCAGGATAGCTTTAGCCAAGTACATCCCCTGTCTGGGCGTCCTGCTCTGTGTCCGTCTGCGTGACCTGCGCTCCACCAGCAGCAGCTTCATATCCACACGCCGCTCCACGGTGACCAGTCAGAGCTCTGACATCAGCAGCCAGTACAGGAGGCACAGCTCCGCCAAGTCCCGCCTCTCCTCCGCCTCCGACAGCGAATCGGTGAGCTCCAGTTCTCCGACATTCCTCCTCAAACAGGAGGGCTTAATGAAGAAGGTTTGCCGTGCAGGGTTTGACGGACACCGAGGCCGACCTATCCAGTCTGAGTTCCCGCCCTGCCAGCAGACAGGTTTCCTGTGACATCAGCAGAGACACCGCAGAGCTGCCCGACTTCAGGCACTCCTCCAGCTTCAAGGCCCAGCTGAAGAACCACGACTCTGGGATCTTTGAGAAGGTAAACGTCTGATAGAGCACCATCCATCCTTCATCCATCAATCCTTCATCCATCCTTCCATCATCCATCCATCCATCATCCATCCATCATCCATCCATCATCCAACCATCATCCATCCATCATCCATCCATCATCCAACCATCATCCATCCATCCATCCATCCATCCATCCATCCATCATCCATCCATCCATCCATCCATCCATCCATCATCCATCCATCATCCATCCATCATCCAACCATCCATCCATCCATCATCCATCCATCATCCATCCATCCATCCATCCATCCATCCATCATCCATCCATCATCCATCCATCATCCAACCATCATCCATCCATCATCCATCCATCATCCAACCATCATCCATCCATCCATCCATCCATCCATCCATCCATCCTTCATCCAACCATCATCCAACCATCATCCATCCATCCTACATCCATCCTACATCCATCATCCATCCATCATCCAACCATCATCCATCCATCCATCCATCCATCCATCCATCCATCCTTCATCCAACCATCATCCATCCATCATCCAACCATCATCCATCCATCATCCATCCATCATCCAACCATCATCCATCCATCCATCCATCCATCCATCCATCCTTCATCCATCCATCATCCAACCATCATCCATCCATCATCCATCCATCATCCAACCATCATCCATCCATCATCCATCCATCATCCATCAATCCTTCATCCATCCTTCATCCATCCATCATCCATCCATCCATCCATCATCCATCCATCCATCATCCATCCATCATCCATCCATCATCCAACCATCATCCATCCATCATCCATCCATCATCCAACCATCATCCATCCATCCATCCATCCATCCTTCATCCAACCATCATCCAACCATCATCCAACCATCATCCAACCATCATCCATCCATCATCCAACCATCATCCATCCATCCATCCATCCATCCTTCATCCATCCATCATCCAACCATCATCCATCCATCCATCCATCCATCCATCCTTCATCCAACCATCATCCAACCATCATCCATCCATCCTACATCCATCCTTCATCCATCCATCATCCAACCATCATCCATCCATCCTACATCCATCCTTCATCCATCCATCATCCAACCATCATCCATCCATCCTACATCCATCCTACATCCATCCTACATCCAACCATCATCCATCCATCCATCCATCCTACATCCATCCATCATCCAACCATCATCCATCCATCCATCCTTCATCCATCCATCATCCATCCATCATCCAACCATCATCCATCCATCCTTCATCCATCCATCCATCCATCCTTCATCCAACCATCATCCATCCATCCATCCTTCATCCATCCTACATCCATCCATCATCCAACCATCATCCAACCATCCAACTATCATCCAACCATCCAACCATCATCCATCCATCCTTCATCCAACCATCATCCAACCATCCATCATCCATCCATCCATCATCCAACCATCATCCAACCATCCAACTATCATCCAACCATCATCCATCCATCCTTCATCCAACCATCCATCCTTCATCCATCCTTCATCCAACCATCCATCCATCATCCATCCTACATCCATCCATCCATCCATCCATCCATCCATCCATCCATCCATCCATCCATCCATCCATCCATCATCCAACGTTGTTAATTATTTCAAGATCATTTTTGCAGTCTATGATCCTCTTATCACTAATTCACTGATTTAGTAATTAACTGATAATAAAGTTTTGGAAATTAAATCTGGTTTATTTCTGTTTACTTTCAGACTTCTTATGACACCATCTCTATGGGAGGAGTCAGTGAACGCCACAGCATCCCAAACGTGAGCCTTCATTAATAAATTAGGACTAAAGATTTGATTTTTAGATCCTAATACTCCATCATTTTAACAGTGTTTGTCCCGATGACTGTTCCAACTTCTTCTATCTTTGTTGCCGGTCGTTCCTGCAGAGTTCCTTTATTCTGTCTCATGGTCTCACCTTGTGGACGCCATGTTTCTGTCTTCTTATTTTGAATTCCCTGAACAGAGCGGGGACGCCTCAGAGGGAAACGTGACGAGAGCCCAAATAGGGCGGATCCCCAGCATCGTCATCACCTCCGAGACCAGCCCCTTCCTGCCCATCGGGCGGAGCGGATCGCGCACGAACCGAGCCAAAGCGTCCAACAACAACGCGGGGGCGGGGCCTGGATAGAGCCCCGCCCTCCCAGCTCCACAGCAGTCATGAAGCGGACCCACTCCCTGGCAGAACCACCCATCAGATAAAGCAGGGAGTAAATCCATCATGGACGTTTGGACTCCAGAAGCTGAAGCCGGTTTCTGCAGCGCAGCTTCTGCTCCAACCGGTTAGATGGATGGATGGTTCTGTTGGATCGTCCAGTCGGGTCTAACGTGACCCAAACTCAACACATTCACAAAGGTCTCAGGTTTAGCTGCCATGCTGCTTGAAGCCCAATCAAAAAAATATTTGACCTGAAATATAATAAAGTGTGCAATTAAACTGAAAACAGTCAATTAGAAATAAATACTGCAAAAAACAAACAAGATCCAGACATGAAGATTAGTAAAACTGCACCATTCAGATGACAATAATTTAAACATTTAAACCTTTAAATGTATCATTCAGAACCCGTCTGGATTAGGGCTTTAAACCAGAAATATTCCACCGTTCTGTATCTATAGCCTCTGTGTGGTGTTTCCTCTTTCCTTTCCTCTTCTTCTTCTAGAACATCTCTCTCTAGTTTAGCCTTCAGTCAGGCGGGTTTCAGGTCATTGAGCTGAGCTTTAATGATGCTCTAAATGTTTTGGTCATAATCTGATCTGGACCGGTTCTGGGTTCAGGTTTTTAGTTAGGAATATTTCACAGGGTGTCCATTAAAACTGAAACAATCAGATTATTTAAATAATCTTCAACTAATTTAGTAATCGATCATTCATTAATTGCATAGAGACGGTAAAACATGTTTTTAGCTGACAGAGCGACCCACTTAGAGCAGGAATTATGATAATTGTAAAAAAGATACATAAATATTTTGTATTTAAGATTAAAAAGCTTAATTTTGCTCTATAATCCAGAACTCCTCAAGTGGAAAACTTTTAGATTCAAACGGTCTAATTTCATAAAAAAATCTTCTCATAGATACCTTTAGCTATCTGATTATTAATCGATTAATCAAAAAATAATCGAGATCAATTGATTTGCAAAATAATCATCAGTAGCAGCCCTAATGTAAACCTTAGTGTGTCGAATGTTTAGGCTTTAGGGGGTCTGGTGGTTCCCTCCCCCGGAAAATGTTAATATTTAGACTCTGAGACGCTATTTCCTGCATGTTGGAGGTAGAATGCAGCTAACTTTATGTCTTTGTTCCAAGAATGTGAGCCTGACTAGAGGTGGAAGGTTCATAAGGAAGTTATGAGATAATTTTTAGCCTAAATATTATGTTTCATAGTTTAATTCAAACAATTAGAACGTCTGATGCTACCTTCACAGTGAACGCCATCAGAGAAGCTGCTTCATTTCTGCTGCTTGTCCACATTAAAGCCAGACGCACACTCTGCGATATTTGGGCCGATTTTCCAGTCGTCCCAGAATTTTTCGATCGCCGATTTTCAGCCTTACCATGCGTCGTGTGTAGTGTAGCATAGAGGGGGTAACGAGGGGCGATCAGCCTCTCACAACCACCTCCCGATCAGGAATCGTAAAGTCGGGAGAAAATCAAACATGTTTGATTTTCTCCCGACATTGTGGTCAAATCGCTCAGTGCGCAAACAACGATTCTTCTTCTTCTTCCTCCCAGAAAAAAACCCAGCAGCATGGCGGGGGGGCAATGAGTGAAATGGAGTTCTTTCTGTCAAACTGACAGACCGTAGTAGCCACGTTAGCTCAGCCATGTCTTTGTCCAAATACGTCGTCTCCTTTTCATTTTAGGGCTTTCAGCACTAAATCGCCCAAATATCCAAGGCAGCGCGTTTCACTCTAGTGAGCTTCATGTTCCTCTTCTACTGGTTTGGCTTCCACTTCCCAATTCCTGATCGGGAGGCGGTTGTAAGAGGCTGATCGCCCATCGTTACCCCCTTTATACTACACCATCATGCTGAAAGATAGAAAAGTCCTCGCACGACTGGAAAATCATCCTGAAAATCGCACAGTGTTTGCCGGGCTTAAGGTCAGCCGTCCAGTAAAATGAGTCCAGAAGCTTCTGCTGCTCCTGTGTTCGATGCCAGAGAGCAGCTTTGCTATATTAGCTGTGATCAGCGGGTAGAAAGTAGTTAGAATCTATGTTGAAGTGAGAAAGTCCTCCTGAAAACATGGTCTGTGCAGTCAGTTCATCCAGATTACCATCCTGCCTTCAAAGATTATTTCTCTGTGGGAGCCGCTCAGACCTAGCCTCGTGAGACCATCCTGATCTCGCGAGCTTTCAAGGTTTCACTCGCAGATCAGTCTGGAGACTCTCGTTAAAGAAAATTTGGAGCCGTTCACCAAACGAACGTCCAATCAGCGTTGGCTTTGAGGCGGGTTGAGGTGTGACGCAACGAGAAGCGCGACAGTTCAGTCTAAAGAACATGGCGGCTTCAGCCGATGAAACTAGCGTTAGCGTGGCTATCGAGCAAGTTTTATGGGAATTACAGAGTATTTCTTCACTGAAAGAAGAGCAAAACACTGCTCTGGAGGCTTTTCTCAGAGGAAAAGATGTTTTTGCTCTTCTCCCCACTGGTTTCAGCAAGAGTAGCCTGGCTGTTAGTATGTCATATGCTTCGTTGATCTGATTGGTTTATTTGGCCCGTCTATCACCAACATAGGCCAATCAGCTAACCAGTATTTTCGCCCCTTCCCAAAATTACTTCAACGGAAGGTTTCCAGATGGATATGCGGAGCAAATCCATCTGGCGGAGTCAGGTTAGCTCAGACCCCCACATACCGGCGCTGCGCTGTCACTGGGAATCCCCAGCAGCAGCTGCCTCAGGCCCGCTCGCCTCTCCAGGGTTTTCCCCTCCTGTTGGTGGCGGCTGGAAGTAGATGTTAGCGTTTTTCAGGTCTGTGCTACAAACTGCAGGCAGCAGGATAATAAAAGCCAACAGATTCTGCCGGCAGGTTTCTACGTTTGAAGTTAATTTAGGCGTTAATAAACTGTTTCAGAGGAGTGATCATAGCGCTCTGCATCAGCAGTGCTGACTCCCTGCCAGCTCCCAGATCAGCTTCTCTGATTGGTCGATGCGGCGCGTCCAGCAGATAAAGTTACATTAAACAAACTCCAGCAGCTGCTGCTTCTGAAATTTTAAATATTTGAGTGAAGTTTCCAGGAAATTAGGGTTTGCTAAAGCTGTAAATCCCAAATTGCGAACTAAAAACCTGTTTTTATCTGCATGAAGTAAAATCAAAGGCTGCATTCAAAAACTGCTGAAATAAATTACTTTGTAAAGAATCACTTGAACACATTGGATCTTTTCTGTTTTCTAATGTTGGATCTGTTAAAATATTTGTGTTTGAATATTCTGGTAAAATAATGAAATTACACCACAGCTGTAAATAAATAAGAGCAAAATAAGGATTTAAAACTCAGGAGGTTTTCTAGATTCAGAGGAAAAAACGACCTGCTGGTTGATGACCCAACAGAACCGCCCTGCAGACGTCCTCATATGATTCAATGATGACCTTACAGTGGGAAAAAAATATAGATAAGGCATTTTTTCTTAAATTATGTGCATTTTTTTCTTGAATTTAGGAGGTAAGCGAGACATTTTTCCAATAAAACAAGACAATTTATATTTAAAATAAGAAAAAACATTGCATAGTCTTGTTTCAAGAGTAAAAATATTCATCCCATTGGAAGATCATCTCATTTACCTGCTCAAATTAAGGTTAAATACACTTAATTTAAGAAATGTTGACATATATCTGGATTGTTTTTGCAGTGTAGAGGGAAGATGAACCTGAATGCATCACAGATCCCAGCTGTTCACTGCAAAAACATTCTGAAAATGAGTAAAAATGTCTTAAATTAAGTGTATTTAGCCTTATTTTGATGATGTAAATAAGATGATATTCAAATGGAATCAGTATATTTACTAATAAAATAAGATAATTAGATATTATGCACTTGAAATAAAACACTGCATTTGCTTTTCCTTATTTTAAATATAAATTGTTTTTTTTTTCTATTGGAAACGCTAAGTTCAAGAAAAAATGCACTTATTTGAAGAAAAACTGATTTATTTAGATTTACGGTTTTTGCAGCGCTGCTCTCACCTGATTGGTCGGTTTCCACCATCTGAACCACACTGCAAAAACAATCCAGATATATGTCAACATTTCTTAAATTAAGTGTATTTAGCCTTAATTTAAGCAGGTAAATAAGATGATCTGCCAATAGAATGAGAATTTTTTAACAGAAATTGTTTTTTTTTCTCATTTTACATCTTAATAGTCTTATTGCGTTAGCAAAGTTTCTCACTTACCTTCTAAATTCAGGAAAAATTGCACTTATTTTTAGGTAAAAGTTACTTATTAAGATGAACTTTTTTTGCATTAAAGCTAACTTGCTGTTTTTGTTGTCTAGTATTTATGGATTTCTGTGTTTAAATCCTGATCTTTGCTTCTTGCTGACGTGTGAAGTTTAAACCGTGTTCTGCTGCCGTATGTCCTAAAGGTCGCAGTCAGGTGACCTCGTTGATGTGCTGCTTTGTGTGAAGCGGAGCTGGAATGTTTCTCTGCTCTTTGTTTGCTGGAAGGTTTTTGTCTGGTCAGTGAAAACGGAGCGGCGGCCTAATCCCGCCGCCGTCATGGTTTCCTGTCGCTCCAGGCTGTCCTGCTGTCAGAATAAACAGAAAACAAGCTGAGCGCGTGTTTGATGATGTTTGTGTTATTTATGTCGCCCCCTGCTGACCTCACTGTTTATGGGATTTATTTTTCTAAATAAAGATCTGTTCTCCACCCCTCTGTTGTTTCTCTGCTCTGCATGGTGAGAAAAGAAAAGACCAGATTAATGAGATGAACTGCTTCTTAAGGCCAGAACACAATAAATCTGATTTCTCGTCCAATCAGACAGAAAATGTAATGCTACGTTCAGACTGAACGCAGCAGAAGCAGCTAAAACGCCGTGCTGCTTCATTTCTGATGCTTTTAGTTTATTTCTGATGCATCTTTGCTGCTCTAGCTGCACGGTGGTAAAGTGGGTGTGATGTGCGTTGGGCGGAGCAGTTAATTTAGGCGTTAATAAACTGTTTCAGAGGAGTGATCATAGCGCTCTGCATCAGCAGTGCTGCGTCTGACTCCCTGCCAGCTCCCAGATCAGCTTCTCTCATTGGTTGATGTGGCGCGTTTACAAGCAAAAATAAAATTTTCCAACTCCAGCAGCTGCTGCTTGAGCAGCGTTTTGCGCACCTCAGATGCTCGTTATGCGCTGCTTTAGCTGTTAAAAATGCGCCTTAGGACCTTTTGATGCGCCTTGATGCACGTCAACCATTGACTATGCATGTAAACCAGCTGCTTCTGCGGCGTGCAGTCTGAACGTAGCATTAAAGATCGTAGCGTTTAGATAAGTGGGGTTTGCAGACAGAGCAGGTCAGTGCAGCGTATCTCTATCGCCACTTTATGGAAAAAAGAAAGAAAAAGTTGGATAAACTTCTCAGATCTCTCTGAGAATCACCTCTCTGCCTCAGTTACCATAGAAACCCTCCCACAGAGGTTATTGCTGCGTTTTTCTTTTCTTTATGTTTTAATATCTGTTCTGGTTCTAGATGCTGCACAGACTCTTTACGTAGAGCTTGGCTTTATAGAATGCATCAGTTGGTTTTTATTTTAACTTTTCATAATCTGTTGCAGTCAAATGTGGGAAATAGTTTTTATAAGACAGAAGAGAAAATAATCTGCAGAGATCTGCTCATCCTGCCTAGTCAGAGCCTCTCTATACGCAGCCAGTGTCAGATGCAAATAAATTACGATTTAAAAGTTCAGGGGTTTAAAGTGTTTTTCATCATAAGATCAGATTTAAGTTTTTTAGCTTTTTTAATCTATATTTTAGATCTAGAATCAGTTTTTTATTTTATAAACTGGTTTAAAGGGACAAAATGTTCCTGTTAAATGGAAAATCATTGGATGGATGAAAAAATCAGAGAGAAACATCTGGGAAGAGAAAATAAATGACAGAATATATAAATAATCTAATAAATAAGAAGTAAAGATGGATAAATAATAAGTTAACATATGAATAAATATATAGATGATTATGAGACATTTAAAGTAAATTAAAATGAATATTTCAGTTTGTTGCAGGAGTTTATCAGAGGTTTGTTGTTTACAGCCTCCTGTCTCTGTTCTGCCTCTTTAAATTAAAATCCCCTAATGAAAATCCTCGGTCACTCCCCCCTCCTGCGGGGCCTCCTCCCCCTCCTGCGGGGCCTCCCTCCTGCTCTGAGGCAGGGTGTCAGGTCAGGGACCGGACCAGGATCCTGGATCACCGCAGACCCGTCCTGGCAGCAGGTACCAGCTCCTTCCTCCTCCTCCTCCTCCTCCAGCAGCTCAGGTGGCTGCCTCCCCCCCTCCCCCCGGACTCAGTGCTCCTGCTCCCCGCACCTCCTCCACCCGCTGAGGCAGCAGCTGATCCAGGCGGAACCGGGTCTCCGGTTCTGGACCCTTCCTGACCTGTTCGGAATATTTTCTCAGTGGCTGCTGGTTTCTGAGGACGGAGCGGCCCTGCTGGGCGGAGCTAAGAGCCGCAGCAGGTGGGCGGGGTTACCTCAGGTCTCCGGCGATCTCTGTTTCCAGGATTTTATTGAGGTGAAGTGAATCAGCAGCTCTGATGTTCCCTCCATCAGCTCCTCCATCAGCTCCTCCCTGATGGAGGAGCTGATGGAGGAGCTGATGGAGGAGCTGATGGAGGGAAATGATGTTTCTGCAGAGCAGAGCTGACCTTCAGTCACTGTCTGTAGAAAATGTAATCTCAATAAGTCATTTTTTTTTCTTAAAATAAGTTAATTTTCTCTTGAATTAAGGAGGTAAGTGAGACATGTTGCCAAGGGAACACGACGATTTGTATTTAAAATAAGAAAGAACATTTGCATTGTCTTATTTCAAGTACAAATTAACTAATTATCTTATTTTAAGAGCAAAAATCCTCATTCCATCGGCAGATCACGTCATTTACCTGCTCAAGTTAATGATAAATACACCTAATTTAAGACATTTTTACTAATATTTATATCATTTTTGCAGCGCAGCGCCAAATCTAGCGACTTTTTTCTGCTACTGGAGACTTTGGAGACAACATCTAAAAGCAGCGAACTCTGCTCTCCAGAGCAAGTAGATTGGTAACCCCGCCTCCTGCTCTCCTCTATCTTGTCTGCTGTCATGATTCATGCAGCTATTATTTCATCCAAATGAAACATGGAGAACAGATAAGCAGATCATGGCTTGTCTACAGTGAAAAGAAGGACTGGGTTATTTACTTTGGCCTTTTTGGAAACACAGGAAGGAGCAATCAGCTAAGTGAGCTTAGTGCTTGGAAAAAATCTTTCATTCCTTTAGAGACAGCATGAAAAGTCAGCTGAGTACAAAACATAGAGAGGAAAACAAGAAGAAAAGGGACAAGAAGAGAGGGACACAACCTAGAACAGATAATGGATGTCTATTCTATTAACATTTCTCTATCTGGAGAATGGGGCTGTTTGATGTGTTCTCCATTCAGAGGGCACCCTGCCTGTCTTTGCCTAGGGCCCTATTTTTCCTAAATCCGCCCCTGCTCTCTGTGACATCAGCTCTGACCTTTCAGATAAAGGTCAGCAGGTTTCTGCACATAAACTCCGTCCAGCTGACGGCTTGATAGCTGCACATGTTTCCAGATGACTGAGGTTCAACCAGCGGAGCAGAAGCTGCTAAATGATGAACAAATCATCTAAAAGTTACAATTATTTTCTCTCTTTTTTTAATCAGATGAATTAAAAATTCAGCAAAACTTCAATTCAAAACAAATGATTAAAAATTGATCACTGGGCAGAGGAGCAGAGGAAACTTCCTGGTTCCTTCAGGCTCTGCTTCATGTTCATTAGAGCTGGTGACCAACCAGAGGTACCATATGGATCTACTGGGATGGATGATGGGTTCAGACTGGATTCATCAATAGATGGACAGATAGACTCTGCAGACTCTCCTCTAAAATGTTCTCTGATGTTCTGGAGATCTTTGGCCTCCTTCAGTCACATCCAGCCCAGATCTGCAGACATGGATGATTTTCCATGAATGGAACCAGAGGAAGGATGGATCTGGACTCTTGGCTCCAGGTTGACCTTTCCTCCGCCTGGGAAGCTCTTCAGTCTCTGTCAGATTCCTTTCTGTCACAAAAGCATCTAAACTTAGCCGCTGACATGCGGCGCTGAGCAGATCCAGCTGCTCTGGGACCCGCCTCCCTGCAGAACATGTTACATACATGATCCAGGTCGTGTGTTACAGGAACCCAGGCTCCTGCTCTGTTTGACGGTTTGATGATGATGAGACCAGGATGAAGATCAGGAGAACCTGACTTCCAATCGAAGAATTTCAGCTCAACCAACAGATGGAGGAACGAATGCTGAAAACTGGACCTCTGGTCTAACCAAGGACAGTGCCGGCCCCAGCCTCTTGGGGGCCCTAAGCAGAATTTGATTTGGTGGGCCCCCCCTTCCCACCTACGCTACAACATCATCGACGCAAACGTCCCACCGTAATGTTATGGCGAATATTATAAACGAATACAGTGAGGTTATTTATTAATATAAAATAAGTAAACGCTAATTAAAATCCTCTTTTATTAAAACTTCTGAATACAAACCGTCACAAAACATATTCAATCGATTATTTTCAAATATGCATTAAATGCGCAATATTTTAAATAAAACCAAACAGAGAAACATAGACAATAAAAAACAGAACGATACAAAACAGATACTTAAATAATGAAAGCAAACGTGTCCCTGATGACATCATTGATGACGTCATTGCATGGTATTGCTTGGCGAACTATGTTATTGCAGCAATCTCTAGGTCCACTTAAAGGCTGGTTAGCGTCGCAGTTAGCTTGTCGCAGGAATAACGCAGATATTTAGATTTATGGCCAATATTGAAGTGTGGTCTGAGCTGTTATTCCACAACGCAAGAACTAGCTAGGATTGTGGGCGTCCATGTGTCAGTTTGCAGCCTTGTTCGCCCTCTACAACCCCTCATCCAACGCCGGACGTCACACGGTTCTCCCGTGAGCGTTCCCCAAAGACTGGCCGTGGCGCTGCGTGTTTTGGCTTTGGGTGCAAACCAACAGACCGTCGCACAGAGCTACAAACTAGCGTCCTGCACGGCGTCTGGGATAGTGTCTGAGGTGAGCCAGGCGTGGTGGGCGGAGCTATTCAATTCAATTCACTTTATTTTTATAGCGCCAAATTCAAAACACGTCATCTCAGGTCACTTTCCAATTCACCAGATCATCCAGTCAGATTGATTCAAAGTTTTCTATCTAAGGAAAACCAGCTGATTGCATCGACTCATTGACTCTTCAGCAATCCCTCACACTAAGCATGCTTGTAGCTACAGTGGGGAGGAAAAACTCCCTTTGAACAGGAAGAAACCTCCAGCAGAACCAGGCTCAGTGTGAGCGGCCATCTGCTGAGGCCCACTGGGGTTCAAGGAGACAGAAGCAGACATAGAAAAAGCAGCATAGATACAAAAGGCAACTGTCAACCAGCTCCACAGGCGGCCCCGTCCAGGAAACACACAGCCAGGCAGACGAGCTCCGAGCCAGCTCCCATGTCAGAGGATGAAGAGAGCACATCCAGTTAGTCACAGTCAGAGAAACAGGACTACACTGGAAAACAGGCCAAGCTCCAACATCTATGAGCCAATCTGGCTACAGTCAGAGTTTCTGCCATTAGGGACCAAACAGGAAAAGTTCTGCTCTGCTGAGGCAGCGGTCACCGGCCATCCTGAGAGCTACACAAAGATTCGGCTAAAGTTCACACATCTAGTTTAGTGAGAGGTTTATGAGAAGCTCAAAGGCAGTCCCCATAGTTTGGTCAATGGACCTTGGCCACACTGGAAAAAATCCAAATCTAGATAAGTCATTTTTTCTTAAAATAAGTGCATTTGTTCTTGGATTGAGGAGGTAAAAGAGACATTTTGCCAATGGAACAAAACAATTTACACTTTAAATAAGAAAACACAATTGCATTGTCTTATTTCAAGTGCATATCATCTAATTGTCTTATTTTAAGAGTAAAAATACTCATTCCATTGGCAGATCATCTTATTTACCTGCTCAAATTAAGGGTAAATACACTTAATTTAAGACATTTTTACTTATTTCTAGATCATTTTTCCAGTGCATTGTTTTTGGGTGCCCCCCCTGGTCACCTGCCGCTTGCCTATGCCTCTGGCCGGCCCTGAGCATGAAGGATTGTCTGTATGGGTCGTTTGCTTGAGCCCAGTCGGTGTTTAATGGAGCGGACCTTTCCGGTTCTGATCCAGTGAGGCGGTTCTTTAATGGTTCCCATCCCGCCGCTGACCTTTCTCTATCGGACCCTCTCAGCTCCCGGCCTTTTTATCAGCTCCCAGATAACCAGACGTTTCCTGCCGCGGCTCCTGATTGGGTCGTAGGTAGACCCTGTTCATCAGAACCTGCTCTGTGGGGGGGCGGGGGGGTCTGGAAGAATCTACCGGGTCTATATTAACCCGGTGAATCACGGCGAGCCTGGCATTCCAGGTGTCCCCTTTCACGCCATATAAGTCCTCCCCCCTCCTCCCTCTGCCCTCACCCCCTCCCACAATGCCCCTCTGCGATCTCTGGCTATTCTTAGAGCGTCTCTTCAGCTCCCAGCAGGCAGCTCCTTCTCCTTTCTCCCTTTCCTTCCACTCATCATCGTCCTCCTCTGTCCTCCTCCAGAACCTCCGGTTTCTCCGCTCATCCTGGAGCTGTGGTTCAGACGTCTCACCTGAGTTTGGAGGATCTTTGGTTTTCCTGGAAGAATGAGCATCTACAGCGTGACCCTGCCAGGCCCCGGGCCCTGGGGCTTCAGGCTGCAGGGGGGCAAAGACTTCAACATGCCGCTGACCGTCTCCAGGGTAAGAGCCGCTGGAACCTCCTGCTCTGCGTGTGGAGAAGGGATGGATAAAGCAGATGATTGAGGAGGAATGTTCTTGGTAGATCAGTGGAGCTCCTGGTGGAGCGACCTCTGCTCCTCTTCCTCTGCTTCTGTCATGATTGAGCTAAAAATCTTCTTCATTGACTGAAGGACAGAAATCAGATCATTAGAGGCAGATGTTGTTAAATCTGAACTTCCTGTTAAAGTTCAGCTGCTGTGAAGCTCATAGATTTGCTCCTTCTGGAGGTTTTTCTGATTCAAACCTGTCATGGTGGCTCCGTGGCCCCTGGTGGCCCCTGAAAGCAGAGCTGCAGCTTCTAAAACTGGAGCAGGTTTAAGTTTTCAGAGCCTGCTCTGTGAATAGCTGGAGAGGAGAAGCTCCTGTCTGTCCTGCTTCTGGATGTTGGAGCTCCTGGTGGCTGGTCTCAGGCGCTCCGTTTGGTCCCGCTGCTGAACCTCGCTTCTGGATCAGTTCTCAGATAAAACCCAATCTGATGCTTTGCAGACGGGTTTCATGTGGAATTAAAGTTTAAAGCTGAAGTTTCTTGGTTTCATGCTGATGAAGATTCTCAGTCATCCAGGTCATTCCAAAAAGTTAAAATCAACCCACTGGACTTTGTTTCCAAGTTTGAAGACGTTTCTCTTCCATCCAGGAAGCTTTTTAATTCCAAATGTCAGAAATAGCGTTTAGTTCCAGGTTTTATCCAGCAGCCCAACAAAGCCTGGTTTTAGTTTAGAAAACATGCAAATAGAAACGGATGAACGGGTCCCCCCCTTTGGAATGGGGGTCGTTTGGCTTCTTTGTTAGCCTGCAATGCCCCATACCTGTCTATGTCTCTGAAAGGGGGGTCGTTAGAGGGAATAGTTGTTAAATTGTTTAATTGTCATTATAAGGACTCAGATTTCAGTTTTCAAAAACCTCCAATGCAGCGATAGAGTTGATTCCTTCCCCTATAATTGCAACCTTTTTACAGGAGAACAGAAGACCTCACCTATTCATCCAGACCAACTATTCCCTTTAACGACCCCCCTTTCAGAGACATAGACAGGTATGAGGCATTGCAGGCTAACAAAGAAGCCAAACGATCATTTTAGGATAATTATCACGGATGATGTGTTAGTTTATTACACCTTAACATCAGCTGCCTGTTGCGTCTCAGAACGAATGTTTTCCCCAATAGTTGATCTAATTAAGCCAGCTCCTCGGTCCTGATATCCAGTTATAATCTCCATTCTGTAAAGATGTGGGAATGGAAAGAGAGCGGCCTCCTTCAGCTAAGATTAAAGTATAATATTTTGATAAGGCTTGAGCCTCATCTGCTAAAATATAATGATATGGCAGACTGTAGATGTATAAAATGCTTTAACTGTTAATGGGGGACACTTCCTGTGAAGTGAGCCTGGTTGGTGAGCAGCTGCCTTCTGTGACTTCTGTGAATCTGTTGTCATGTCTCCTGGTTATTTAATACATGGAAGTTATGAAGTGTTATTTAAAGAGTTTGTCCTGATTGATTTTCAGGAAAAAAGCCAGAGAAAGAAATCTTGAAGGTGGAAACTTTTAAAGATTCTCTAAACTTTTTCTTTTTAACGACCCCCATTCCAAAGGGGGGGACCCGTTCATCCGTTTCTATTTGCATGTTTTCTAAACTAAAACCAGGCTTTGTTGGGCTGCTGGATAAAACCTGGAACTAAACGCTATTTCTGACATTTGGAATTGAAAAATCTTCCTGGATGGAAGAGAAACGTCTTCAGACTTGGAAACAAAGTCCAGAGGATTGATTTAAATTTTTTGGAACTTCTTGGTTTCAGTTAATGAAACGTGTTCCGACTGTAAATCCTGTTATTGTCCCACAGTGGGGTAATTCCCTCTCTGCATTTAACCCCTCTCCTTGGGGAGCAGTGGGCTGCCATTGTGTAGCGCCCGGGGAGCAGGGTGGGGTTAAGGGTCTTGCTCAGGGACCCAGATAAGAGGCTGTGGGAATCGAACCGGGTACTGTAACCTTCTCAGAGCACCGAGATCTGCTATAACCAGCAGGCCAACACCCGGTCCATCCGGGTTCTGACCAGTCCGGGTTTTCTCAGCATCAGTGACTCAGCACATGGCACAGATAACCTGCTGATTCTGCTGAGGTCCGATTGAAGCCCCGCTCAGCCTTCAGGTTGGTTCTGGTGTCTCTCATCTTGACTCCATCGATTCTCTACGCGGTTTAAGGTTTCCGGCCCGTTTCCTGGCGTTACCATGGTGATTTAAACAGGTGTTGATGCTTCTGCCATTGTAGGCCGTACCAAGCCCTGCTGGGAAATAAAACCGGTATCCTGCTACAGGTAGTCATCAGTGATTAGCGTACATCACCCATGTATGGAGGCCTTAGTCCTCGGCGTAGCCGACCCGGGGTCCAATCCGACCTGTGGTCCTTTGCCGCAAGTCTCTCCCTCTCTCTCCTACCGCCTTTCCTGCCAGCCCACTGTGCAATAAAAGAGCCACTAGCGCCGTAAGAACCTCAAAAAAGAGAAAAATCAGAGGGAGGAATGCAGAACTGGACCAGTAGATTGTTGTGTCGACTGTGGACTTCAGGAAACCCGTTAGAACAGAACCAGCAGTGATGGAGGAATCGGGAACTCTCTCTTCCTTCAGTCTGAGGTCTTTTAAAATGTGACTCAAACTTTTCTTTCATTAAAGAGGACTTTGGACCATTGAGCAAAGGTATGGTTCTTTCTAAACCCGGCCCACATAGGGAGGTTTTGATGCCGTCTCCAGTTCAAAGGTGGTTAAAGACAAAGAACTGGATGGTTGTAGCTGGATGGTTCTGGAAGCTTTGGCTTCAGCTGCAGGTCACTGCAGTTAAACCTGCTGCCTTTTTACCTTCCACTAAACTTTCCTCTGTTCTCCTTTCAGCTTTTATTGCTCTGATGTCATGAAAACCAAGTTAATTTTCTTCTGAAGTATAATATTCAGATACCCCCCCCCCCTTACAATGATTATCAGAATGTCTCAGAACGTTCCTTCCGTGTCATGATTGGGTTTAAGGACTTAGCCCACATGCAGAACACAACGGAGTCTGAAGGAAAGTTTAACAAGGTTTATTGAAAGATGTACAGTGATATACTGGATCTGGTTCTGGTACTGGTCCGGGACTGGTCTCAGAGTTTCTGGAGAGATGAGAGTTTGGTTAGCCAGGCTGATGATGGATTGATAGAGAGAAGAATCAAGATGTACCTTGAGGAGATTGTAACAGAGCCGTGAGGTGAGATACCGTAGGTCCAGAGTCAATGATGTGGCAGATAGTTTAAGCAGCAGCAGCGTCTAGTTCCGAGCTAGAAGGTTTCTGGCTTGGGTTTGTTCCTTGCTCTATTCAAGAGCTGAAGAAGGAATCCAAACTGAGATCTTCAGGTTTGGCTTTCATGATTAGGCAGGCAGGTTTCTAGGTGGAGCTCATCCAGAGCTTCAGGGTTTCCTGTGAGCACAAAAGACAAAGGCGATTAGAAGACTAGTTCCTCTCTAGAGTCTACTAGTAAAGTTCAGACGTTCTGAGGCTCAAGTTCGCTAACCAAACTAGGTCAGCACTCCGGCGTCGAAGGAAGGTCTGGCAGCTGCTTAAGTAGCGTGGACCACTGATGAGCTGATGATCTCCAGGTGTTTAGAGGAATCAGCTCAGGAGGCCCACAGCGCTCTCTGCTGGAGATCAGGTGGCAGATCTCTGGATCCTGACATTCCGTTTCTACGCTGATAACATTCAGCTCCTCCAATGATCCATTATTACACGAGTTAGCCGACTGGACTGGACTGTGTCTCGTGACCAGGCTCTACTGATGTGGTTCAATTCTATTCAGTTTATTTCTATAGCTCCAATTCACATCATGTCATCTCAGGTCACTTTCCAGTTCACCAGATCATCCAGTCAGATTGAATCAAAGTTTTCTATCTAAGGAAAACCAGCTGATTGCATCGACTCATTGACTCTTCAGCAATCCCTCACACTAAGCATGCTTGTAGCGACAGTAGAGAGGAAAAACTCCCTTTGAACAGGAAGAAACCTCCAGCTGAACCAGAACTATGATAGAAAGCTAACAATAACCTAGCTCCAGATGTGGCTCTGTCTGGCAAATAAACAGTTAATCAGATGAGCACTGAGCTCTTATGTCAGAGGATGAAAGAGAAAACATCCAGTTAGTCCCAGAAAAAGCTGAGCCCAGATCTACGTCTAGGAGAGAAACAGGACCAAACAGGCCAAGCTCCAGCATCTAGAAACAAAGGTGTTGATGGCAGCAGCACAGCTGATATTTCTCTCCAGGATGGAGTCACAGCCAAACAGGAACAGACCAGATGAAGCTACTATGAGAAAAAGCAGAGAGAGCAGAACGTTAGAGATTGAACTAACAGATTCTGCAGAGAGGGAGAATAGAGATAGAATGAAGCAGAATGATGAAAAAGGGGTCCCTATGTCCTCCAGCAGTCTAAGCCTATAGCAGCATAAATGGTGCATAAGTTCTACACAGCTGGCATGAAAACATCTGGAAATATGTATGTTGCAGTTTGTAAAATGAGGACCTTTCAGGTAAAAACTCCCATTAGTTTGGTTCTGTTTGACCCGTTATTCCCTCTGGATGGAAGTTTGTGGTGAAAAGTGGGATGTTTTTTAATTTAATCTGGAGATTATTAATGGGTTCTGTCCTTTAGCTGAGATTACAGCATCTCTCCGGTTTCATCTTCTCCACATTTATGCTTTTAATGCTCAGCTCTCCTACATCCCCAGAACTTTCTAACCCCCCCCCCCCCCCCCCCCCCCCGTACCCGTTTAGCACTTGTGGCGACTCGTTGTTTCATTTCAGTCCCAGTGTTTATTTTAGAGCGACGCTTCTGCTCTGATTTAATGGACAACAGGCTAAAAATAGAGCCGCTCTCTAATGTCTTCATCCTTCCATGGAAAATCAGACGCAGCTTCAGCAGGTTCTTCTGCTCCTGCAGACTTTGATCATGGA